GGAGCTACATGACCCTTCCTGTTAGAGACTCTTCTCACACGGCAGTTCTCTTCTTTTTTAAGGGCACAATAGCAATCTTATAAATGGACTGAAAATATTTATTGGGAGACAATACAGAGGAGTGGCTAAAAGCACGGATTCTGGAACCTATTGTCTATTCAAATCCCAGCCCTGCCACTTTCTTTCTGCATGATCTGGGCAATTTAATTTCGTTGTGCCTCAGTTTCCTCTGTGAGGACTGGATTAGCTGACATATGTAAGGCCTTCAGAAGAGTATTAAGTGCTTCTATTGTTACTGTTTTAAAACACATGGGAACTAGTCTTCCCAAATAAGCTTTACCCTCCCCTTCAATGTTAATAAACACTTACCACGTACCCACTATATGCCAAGCACTGAGAGGTGCTAAGGGATATGAAAGGTGAACAAAGACTGGTCCTGCCATTGTTGTGCTCACAATTTAATAGTGATCATACACATGGCTGGGATTAATGTGACAGAGTCCAGGCCTCTAGGAGTGGGACAGAGTCACTGGACAAGGAGTTCACCAGGCTGGTGCCCTCAGAGCAGCAGCTCCTCACATTGATTTTAAACTGAAACAAAAAAAGGGCTCTCTGTGTTAGCTCCCATGGTAAGCAAACAGCCTACTACCTAATTATACTTCATTTCTGAAGACTTAATAAGCAATACTCAATACTTGGCTGTGAGTCAGCAAATGGTAGAACTAACAAGGCCCTTCCTCTCTTGCCTCAGCTCTGTCACCAACCAACCTCCCACCCCAGGCCTTCACTCCAGCCTTTTGGATCTTCCTGTAGTTCTTCTGACATGTCAGGCTGTCCCATACTGCAGTGCCTTTGTACAAGCTGCTCCCTCTGCTGAAATGCCTTCTTAGACTACCCAACTTGTACTTGTTCTACAGATTCAGCTCTTCTACCAGCACATCATTGTCAATACCCAACCTCCTAAATGTGCTCCAACAGCACCCATCACAATGTCCTCTACTGTAATCATTGATGTCTGTGCCTCTCACACCAGGTTACCTGTCCTCAGAAGGCAGGGTGGTATCTTACAGGGCTTAGTATCCTTGGCCCCGAAAAGGGCCTGGCACATTGCAGGTGTTTGGTAAACATACGTCTAGGGACACTCAAGGAACAATGGTTATCTGTTCTTCTCATTTCCTTGCTGCTATCCTCATTACTGTCATTATCAGCCCCCTTCAAATGACCAAAATGCTCCTTAAAGAAAAAACCTAATATAGACAAAATTTCTTCACTCAAATGTCACCTTCTAATGAGGCTCACCTTGAATGGCTATTAAACCTTGCAGCCTCCCTTCCACCTAACACTACAATTGATCGCCCTTATTCTGCTCTATTTTTCTTACTTCCTATATACACATTACCTCCAGATCTTGGTAACAATCCTGCATTGCAGGTGTTATAATCCCACCTTCTAGGTTAGGAAACTGAGTTTAAGGGTCTAAGTGCTCAGGTGAACACCAGTAAGTAGGTGGCGGAGCTGGGCCCTCATTTATTTCCATCCCAAAGGGCACTTAGAAATTTGTCAGCCCTGCCACTTTCTTTCTGCATGATCTGGGCAATTTAATTTCGTTGTGCCTCAGTTTCCTCTGTGAGGACTGGATTAGCTGACATATGTAAGGCCTTCAGAAGAGTATTAAGTGCTTCTATTGTTACTGTTTTAAAACACATGGGAACTAGTCTTCCCAAATAAGCTTTACCCTCCCCTTCAATGTTAATAAACACTTACCACGTACCCACTATATGCCAAGCACTGAGAGGTGCTAAGGGATATGAAAGGTGAACAAAGACTGGTCCTGCCATTGTTGTGCTCACAATTTAATAGTGATCATACACATGGCTGGGATTAATGTGACAGAGTCCAGGCCTCTAGGAGTGGGACAGAGTCACTGGACAAGGAGTTCACCAGGCTGGTGCCCTCAGAGCAGCAGCTCCTCACATTGATTTTAAACTGAAACAAAAAAAGGGCTCTCTGTGTTAGCTCCCATGGTAAGCAAACAGCCTACTACCTAATTATACTTCATTTCTGAAGACTTAATAAGCAATACTCAATACTTGGCTGTGAGTCAGCAAATGGTAGAACTAACAAGGCCCTTCCTCTCTTGCCTCAGCTCTGTCACCAACCAACCTCCCACCCCAGGCCTTCACTCCAGCCTTTTGGATCTTCCTGTAGTTCTTCTGACATGTCAGGCTGTCCCATACTGCAGTGCCTTTGTACAAGCTGCTCCCTCTGCTGAAATGCCTTCTTAGACTACCCAACTTGTACTTGTTCTACAGATTCAGCTCTTCTACCAGCACATCATTGTCAATACCCAACCTCCTAAATGTGCTCCAACAGCACCCATCACAATGTCCTCTACTGTAATCATTGATGTCTGTGCCTCTCACACCAGGTTACCTGTCCTCAGAAGGCAGGGTGGTATCTTACAGGGCTTAGTATCCTTGGCCCCGAAAAGGGCCTGGCACATTGCAGGTGTTTGGTAAACATACGTCTAGGGACACTCAAGGAACAATGGTTATCTGTTCTTCTCATTTCCTTGCTGCTATCCTCATTACTGTCATTATCAGCCCCCTTCAAATGACCAAAATGCTCCTTAAAGAAAAAACCTAATATAGACAAAATTTCTTCACTCAAATGTCACCTTCTAATGAGGCTCACCTTGAATGGCTATTAAACCTTGCAGCCTCCCTTCCACCTAACACTACAATTGATCGCCCTTATTCTGCTCTATTTTTCTTACTTCCTATATACACATTACCTCCAGATCTTGGTAACAATCCTGCATTGCAGGTGTTATAATCCCACCTTCTAGGTTAGGAAACTGAGTTTAAGGGTCTAAGTGCTCAGGTGAACACCAGTAAGTAGGTGGCGGAGCTGGGCCCTCATTTATTTCCATCCCAAAGGGCACTTAGAAATTTGGTTCTCTTTCAACCAGTCAAGTGGGTCTCCAGAAAGACGACACTTCTTAAAGTTAAAAAACCACTTTAGATCAATCTTTCTAATTAACCAAACAAAGAAATTTCTCCAATACACTGATAGGAAATCATATGCTGCCAGTGTGGTCTAATTTCCTTTAGAGAGTAAGGGAAGAAAAATTCGGGGACTCCAAAAGAAATATGGTTTCAGATTTTCGGTTCAGAGAAGATCCTGATGCTTAGGCATTGTTTGGTGTCATTGGTTTTAGAAAATGTATGCAATCCTGTCAAACCTGAGCTGATCAACTTGAAGAGCTGGAGTAAACTTTTACACAGTTTGTGGCTGTGTTGAAAAGAAATTTTTCCATGCTTGCACAACTCTGTGAATATACTAAAAACTCCTGAATTGAACCCTTTAAATAAGTGACCTGTATGGCATGGGAATTCTATCTCAATAAACCTGTTATTAAAAATATTATTATCTGTCCATTTGTTTCAGTTCATGATTTATGTTTGAGTTGAGCCATGTGAAGAGACCAAGTAGACAGAAAAAAATGTGGGAACCACTTCAATATTTGACCCAGAGAAGTTATAACAGGCTGAAATCTTTACATGATATATCCCAATGGACATAATATGTCTTCTCTTAAATGTTATAAGTTAATATACTAACAAACAAGAGATTTGCTAAGTGCCATCCAAAGCAAGCAAAGACCAAGAGCCTAATCATTCACACAGAGCATTGTTTGGTGTCAGGTTTTAAGTTGGCAATAACCACCGTTTCTAAGTTATTAAAAAAGATACAAAAAGTTGGGCATAGCGGTGTGTCCCTTAAAGAAGAGCTAAAGGAGAGGAAGTAACTGATGTATAACTTTTCTAAAAATCCTAAGTTGGAATTTAATGATAAGAGTAGCTTTTATAATCAATACAACAAAGCATATAAAGCTCAGGAATCAGGAAATACCATAAATTCAAATGTATATATACATCCGTGAGTGTGTTTCTCTGCTTATTGCTAAGGCTCAATCACTAGACATTGAAGAAAATTCCTTCTTAGTAGGTACTTCTTAAGATCTGATGTTCAACAGTGCTAGGATCCTGAATACTGTAAAAGAAGCCAGTATTATAGTTTCCTAAGTTTTTGTTTATAAAGTTATGTGTTTTATATGATAAAATTGGTCTCTCATAAGTAAAAAGACAATATAAATGCATTTTATTCACAGATTTATAATTTAGAAGTCATCTTCTCCCGAAAAAAAGATTTAAGATAGTCACGTGCACTCGTAATAAAGACTCCTGGACATACAGTAACTACTCGTTTTCTGCCCATCATCATCTTTAAATAGCAGAGTGCCTACAACATAGTAGGTGTTCAGGATCTATATTAGCATACTGATGGCTAAATAAACACAAGGGCAAAGAATAAAATTTAAGAAGCTAGAGGAAAACATTCACAGAGGACAATGGCAAGATGCACATTTCATTAATTAATAAACTCTAAAACCAGGAGGAGCACCCAGGACCTACATCTTGTATGGCTATTATTTTAGTTTTTCATTCATACTTTACCTATTATGTATGCACCAGGCACTGGGTATGAAGTGGTGACCAAAACATGGAACTTAGTTCGTCTGTTCTGGTAAATGACCCTGCCCTCCTGAACGCAGGGCTTCTCAGACCAAAGAGGAACAATTAAAATATTTGCCTGAGATTTTCCTGTGAACAGGGATGAGACTCACAGGTGGCCCAGAGACCCAGGGTAAAGTTCCACCTGCCCTTCCTCAAGGTTTCTTTAATTCTGTTAGTTACCTCGGGATCTTTATCAAAAATCTTTCATTGCTTAAGGTAAGTTAAGATGACTTCCTGTCACCTGCAATTAGAAAATTACTAATATAACTTCCAATATACATATGAGACTAATGAGTCTACAGGAGGTTAAATAATTTACTCATCCTGGAAGGAGCACACAGTCTCCTGACTCCCAAACCTAAGCTGTATTATGGGTCCAGGTGAAAACAAGCTTTAGAGAAAGGGATCAACATCCAGTACCTCATGAAGCACGGAGCCCAGCAGAAAGTCCAGCCTCTGGCACAGCTCTCCAAGGTTAGATAAGCTGCTGGCCCTGTGCGCACAATCTGGATCTCTCACACCCCTCAGGAAGGTGTGGATCAAAGGTTCTTGGTACTTTGAGACCATGTCCCCTGGAAAAAAAGAAAGAGATCAAAATCTTTTAAAACACATTTTCAAACTTTTAAACAAGGAATAATGATATGATCATGGTATGATGTACAGTATTTAATACTTTTCAAAGTATATGCACAACCATTAAAAATCATGCTCTGGAAGAATATTTAATGTCAGGTAGGAAGAAGACTAGTAATTGACCGTTAGACTGAGTAACAGTGAGGTCACCAGTGACCCTGACGAGAACTTTTTTGATGGACTGGTAGGGGTGAGAGCTGGACAGAAAATGGGCTTGAGACTGTAAGAAGACTTGGAGACATAGAGATCACTTAAGGAGTTTTTCTGCAAAGAAGATCAAAGAAGTGGGGTGGTAACTGGTTGAGGAAGTGGGGCCAAGTGAAGTTTTTGTTTTACTTGAAGAGAAATGTCATGCTAAGACATTCAGAACTGACATTTTATGTATGAAAATAGCTCTTTCCTCCACAGGCATACCAAGAACTAACTAAGGGTGTTTGGCTTGATTTTGTTCTGTGGCACTAGTTGAAGAAGCCATGTACAACACTCCACCTTTAGCTTTTTTTATAGCCTGAAGGCTACCTGGTAGGGTGACAAAATGGTTTCTGAGCATTTGTTTAAAATCATCTATTCTGAATTGCCAAAATGATAACCTACATAGAAAAAACACCAACCTGTCTTATCAGGCCCTGCTCAAAGGCCACTTCCTTTGTGACACCTTCCACAATATCCTCAGTCAGTCTTAATTAGTCCTCTTGGAAGTCCCACAGTACTTTGTACTTAAATCATTTTGGCTTAAATCATATTTATCACTAATGCCTTGATTCCTTGATGTTTTCAGCCTGTATCTATCTATTGCTCCCATTAGACATAAATTCCTGTAGGGTAGAACTTTGCTTCATATTAGTTTGCATAAGTTCTTAGTCATTTTTATACCTACTAGGTACTCAACAAATGCTCATGTTAAACTGAATTCATCAATTTGTTAAAAAAAATTATGTGCTAGGTATCATGCTAATGTTCAGGGATACAAAAAACATAAATGTAATCTTTAAGAAGCCCAAAGTTTAGAAGGTGGTTATAAACAGGTTAAGTACCAACAATTATACTACTGTGTGGTTAATGCCATCATGGAGTCAAGCAGAGGTTGCTGAGAGAGCACAACCTCACTAACCTCAGTCACTTGGAAGAGGGAGGAGGAGGAAATTTTTTGTTTTTTTGTTCACTCTCAAGGTCAAGAACATAGTATACTTCCCATACAATGTAAGAAAAAAATGAGAGTAATATCTCTAAAATCCTCCCTGTTTCTAATATACTACATGTAGTCATAAGACTCATCTCCTGCCCAGATAACATCACCATATATTGCAGAAATTGAATCAGTGGTGACTTAGCTATAGCCTGTTTTCACAATACAAAAGAGGGGACTATAACTGTGCCCACTCTTGACAGTAGTATTTGCATTTCTGAGTATCAGTCCTGGATAGGTAGTCACATATATATGCACAAGAATATCTGCATAAAGATTTGACTGCAGAATTGTAATAGTAAAAAATGAGAATGTTAATCTATGTGGAAATGGTTAAATAACCATGCATATTATGGAATGCTATGCAGTCATTAAAAGGGATATGACAGAACTATATGTACTAATATGGAAAAGCCTCCTTAAGACACTGTTAAACAAAAGAAACTAATAGAGCCAGTATCACTCCATTTATGTATGTAAAAATGCACACACACAACTTCTCTCACTATCAACAAACCAGACTTATAGATTTAAATATTTGTATGTTAAATATACAAATGCATAGACACTAGAAAGGACAAACTAAAATAGAGGGGTTAAATAATTTGTCCAAAGAGCAAATGCAACCAAGGTCAAAGTTCAGTAGTCTGACACTTAACTCCTCTGAAATACTGCATTTAATATATTTCCAACTAAGAGGAAATCCTATTTTTCTACTTTTGTTGCAGTACTTTCCCTTTACTGGAGTTAGAAAGCGACTTGTTCCTTCTGCAGTGTGAGATATGGGTCCGAAGTTAAGAGATCTGTCTTCTAGCTTTGTCCCTACTGCCAACTAACAACGTGACTTTGAGAAATTTGCTTCACCTCTCTGGACCAACAAGAGATGAACTAATTAGATAAGATGATCTGTCCAGCCCCTTCCACTTTCAAGAGTCTATAAATGGATGAGTCACCTTTGGTTTAGTCATCAGGGGAATAAGATTAAGGAGACTGGGAAAGGAAGAACAGGTACACATTCATGAGCTCTGGAGTGGTTAAAGGAATGAAGGGCCCTTTCTGGGAAGGAAAGCACAGAAAAATGAAAGAAGTTTGGAAATCCATAGGAAGGGAAATTGCAAGTTGAAAAGATAAGGGCAGATGACAAGTTTACCAATGCAGAGAGTTAAAGTTAAAAATAAATGGTAAGAAAAGGTACCATGTGCCAGGTACTGTGCTAGGCACTGGGAATTCAATCATAAACAAGAAACACATAATCCTTCCCTCCTGGCATTCAAAGCCTAATGGGGAAGAGGGAAAAAGAACTGACCAAGCCACAACAATGGAGGGACATGTGCCCAGAATGGTGACAGGGAAAGATACTTTATGAATAATGCTTTGATCTGGTTCTCATTAATAACAGCAGCTCCTGTATTCTTATTCATCCAGACTCAAAAGTCTGGTGTTCTTTTTTTGACTTCTCCCTATTACCCTTAGTTAATCAGCCAGTTCATTTAATCCCATCTTTGTTTACTTCCACATAGAATTTGAGGTAATGTACAATAAATAGTGTTAAAACCATGTATCATTCAAATAAATATATATATTTTAAGTTCTATAGTAAGTGAGGGAATGTAGACATCCCAAGCTTAAGGACTGTTTCTGTAAATGAGCCCAAAATTTAGTTTACAAATTCCTGGTAGCTAAGGCAAAAAAGGAAACAGGAAACAGTTATCATTATCCAGTAAAAGAAGGAACATCAACTCATTAGCAGAGAAAAACTTCAGGAAGAACACCAAGAGGTATCTCACTCAATTACCCAGCAAATTTTAACTAAGTGCCTATAATACTCCAACTATATTCTCAGTACCAAAGATACTATAGCATGGACAAGAAAGCAAAATTCCCACCTTCATGAATCCTACTACTAGTGGTAAAGAAAGACAATAAACAATAAATAGATTTTCTAGCAGCAAAAAGGGCTATGAAGAAAAATAAGGAAGGTGGGAGCAGGGGATTTGAGACCCAAGGGTAAGGGATCAGGGAAAAATTTTCAGAGAAAACCCTAGGGAACAAGTCATGGGAACACCTGGGGAAAAAGTAAAGAGAAGCAGACAACACAAATTTAATATTCAATGTAGAAATCATACATCTGTTTCTTATACTGACCAGCCAATGAAAGTCAAGGGCATATTACTACACTAACAACACTACAATTTACCATTCCATTTATATAAATTCCTGTTCTGCCTGAGCTGCATTACTACTTTCCAAACAAGCATCCATTTATTTAACTGCATGCTCCACCAATTCCATCCCCACGTGTCCCCAAGAACTAAGAGGAGCCAGTGGGAAGGTCAGCATCTCAAGAGCCTTGCACTGTACCGTGTGCTGGCTCTGGGCCCACTTGCTACCTTGCTTTCCAGGTATTGGACTGAAAGAGCCAGAACACTTCCTGCATTACCCTGCGTTTCTCAAAGTACTCTGCCATCATGTTCTCCGCAACCTGACATCCCTTAGACCCTAAATACACAGCCTAGATTTGTCACACCCTTCCTCAAGGTAGATTTATGGGGTTAACAACTCTGCCCCCATTTCCTGGGTGCTCTGCTAGCCTCTAACACTCCTTCCTACTAGCCCTTACCATGCTGTGTGGTCAGTTTCTCAACGCTGTACTGGATCCTACTCTCCAGGCTGGGGTCAGCCCTGACCAGGTGGTCAAGAGAACATAGTTTCCAGGGCTGTAATTTGAAACCAGCTTAGAATCTAAAGAGCCTACATAAAGGGCTCTTAATTTGGGCTTTAGGGATCCCTATATGACCCATTTTGTTGTGTATATCTCATTGGCATTCTTCCATCCTTCCTTGCGAAGAGCATTCTAATTTTGTTCAAGTTTTCCACCATCACCCATGTGATTCAGACTAAGGTCTTCAATGGTCTAAGTGAATCACGGTGGACATACACCCTTGCCTTAATTGGTTTAATATGGACATGTGACCCAGTCTGGACAATGAGATATGAAGACAAATCTGCTGTAAGGCCTTATGAAAACATTTTGCTTCTGGCCGTGATAAGGATATGACACTATGATATAATTACTTTAAAGAAATATATATTTGATAACTCAGATGACCAAAATATATTTCTCAGATATATTTGGTCTTCATTCCCACCTCCTGAAAATGGTTCAGAACTATAAAGGTGAAATAAATGTCTTGTTATTAGTGAAGGTGACTTTTGGGCCCCACCTAAGGGTGGGGGCTGGTTGCTGGGAGGACAAACAGGGTGATTAGAGGTTTGGACCTTTCAGTCCTACCTACCAACCTCTGCAGAGGGGAGATGGGTGAGGGTCTGGAGGTTGAATAAGCCCATGGTCAGTGACTTAGGCAATCATGACTATGTAATGAAGCCTCCAGAGAAACCCTAGAACTCCTTTTTGATCCTTCTTCAGAGGGTTTCCACATGCCACCGAGTCAGACCACAAGCTCCCAGAGGACAGAAACTCCTCTTTTGGGGACCTTGCCCTATGTATGTCTTCATCTAGCTGTTGACTGTACCCTTTTTAATATCTTTTAATAAACAAACTGGTAAATGTATGTTCAGTGTTGTCCTGAGTTCTGTGAGCTGCTCTAGCAAACTAGTTAAACCTGAGGAGGAGGTCATTGGCACCTCCAAACTGTAGCTAGACAGCAAGAAACACAGGTAACAGCCTGGGGTTTGCAGCTGGCATCTAAAGTAGGGATGTGGGGCTGTCCTGTACAACTGAGGTGGAATCTG